GCATGTTAATCAGCAGCCGACAAAGCATGTCACTGGGACAGGGCCTGCAGGTGTCAGATTTCCCTTTCGACGTGGCACACTGTGAAGGAAAAGCAGCATTTGTGAAGAGCAGTTTTTCTGCCTGTTCCATAAAGACAATGAATAGATAATTGGATGCAATACAAGCCAAGCTTTATCATCAGCCTCAGGCCAAAATCGTCCAACTCGGGTGCCGAAAGTTAGTTGCCTGCGTCCGCACTCGCCCTGAATAAAAATGGCCTGATTTCAAGAGGAGCTGGGTACCTGTGGAAACTGGAGTCACTCAGCAGCTCTGAAATGATCCTGGACATGTCTAATTGTGAGACAGGCTTTTGGAAAAAGTGAAGTGGATTGTAAGCGAATTTAAACCGCTCCATGTAAACTAGGAGATGGGTGAATTGGGAGTGGAGAGTGGGTTACAGCAGATCAAAATAGGAAGGGGAGCTCTTCAGTTCTTGTGGCTGTCATCACAGGTCTAGATGCTATTTGATGATGTGGCATTACATCATCTTGTGGATACAGCAAGGGGACAAAGGAAGGGATGTACCCCAAAGGCATCCATGTTCCAAAGCAGGCCAATAGCCAGCTAAACACGGGGAGGGTTGTGGGGCGCACATCCCTGGGGCTTCCCTCCCCCTTGCTATGCATCACTTAGGTTTGACCAGGATGGAGAATCTCTACCGATGTAAAAAGGGTCACAAACGTGGGGGGCATTCCGCTGTAGGACACCGAAATGCTGGACTTCATGCATTTCAGAAGATTCCCGGCAGGGAGGTTTGATATGAGATGTCTCTTGTGATATCTCTCTGCCTTCCACCTAGAAGGGAAAGAGCTCTGGGAATGTTGCCTCCCTTTTCTGCTCCCCTGGAGGGGATAGGAAGCTGATAGGGTGCAAACTGAGAGCTCTCCCTTTGGACATCTTCTCAACTCCCATCTGGTGCTGCCGCCGCTCGTCTGACTGGCTGGGAGCCCCAGAAACCTCAGCCGGGCACCCACCTGCTGCTGCTCCCACTGCAGATTCTGCTGTCCGCTGAGCTATTGGCCCCTCAGCCAAGGCGGAGGCGCTCTCACTTTGCTTGTTAGCAGGCGGGAGGGGAGGCTGGGCTTCCCCAGGCTTCTCTCTCTAATCGAAGGGGCTGATGTGAGATCACCAGATCGACAGAAACAAGATTTCCAATAGAAGCTGGGAGACTTAAAACTGCCCTCGGGCTCATGACTCCAACTCTAAGTCAGTGTCATGGGATATTTACACCGCAGAGCATCTCAGGGCCAGAGCCTCGGCCCCAGCGTCACTCCACTGCAGCTAGTAGGACTTTGAAGCCAATGGCGCCCTGCGGATTTACTACAGCTGAGCATCTGGCCTGACAGGTACATCCCAGGATAAAATCTGCTCCCACACAAGGTCCAGCTAGGAAGCTGCTCCAGATTGTTACACACACTGTCTCCTGACGCAAATGCCTCCCATGCGTTCGGTGTACGAAATAAATGGTTTAGCGGATATTTGACTGCTGTGACTTGATCTCTCACTTTGTTCTGGGGTTTCATGGTGAAGCAGAGCAGATATCTAACTTCACTAGGCAGAATAACAAGGGCTTCGATTAGCTGGTAGAAAACACACACATCTCTACAGCAGAGTCTAGTTATCTGAGCCCTTTCCCAAGTAACTCTCCTTTGTTAAGGGTACTTCATTTCTGCCGTCAAAGGGTTTCATTAGCACATTTATCTTTGTTCCAACGGAAATCACGACCCATCAATAGTAGACATGTATATTTACGTGAACACCCACCCCCATGCCTTTCCCCTCTCCCACTCCAAGTACCCAATGTCCTTTCTGTAGCGAAAGGTATAGCTTTTAGAGATGGCTGGAATTTTTCAAGTTTTTGAATTTTTTAAATTTTGTGCCCTCCCCCCGCAAAAGGAAAATATGTTGATGAAATTGTCGCCATATCCCTCTCACTTTTTCAACCAGCTCTACCTTTCACTTATGAATATTGTTGTATGAAAGAACTTGTAATTACGTTGGAAACAAAGCAGACTCCTTAAATAAGCAATAGGGATGTAGCTAGAATGAGTTGGACATGTTAGACTTTTCCCTGTGAGTCCGGGTATGGCGGTGCTCAAGAATGGTCATTTATTTTTTAAATTTCAGGTATTTGTTTCAAATCGTGGTTTGCTCACAAGTGAAACCGTTTGCAGGTCTCATTGTAATCTTCAGCAGATGTTTTACTAACTGGATGGAAGCAACAATTTGTCTTGAGTGACCGTCTGCTCAAATAAAGGCTCAGAAGTCAGTCGTGAGGATATATGCAATATGCTGACTCCTCTGAAATCAATCCACCTTCCCATGTAATATGTATAATTCATACAGGTTCACACCACTCTCCATCTCCTGGCTGTAGGGAGAGCTAACGGATGCACATGAGTTGCTTGGTGTTGAGAGCTGGCCCTTTCCCAGAAAAGCCAGCTGGGTGTTTACAGAACTGAAAGCTCAGTTTATTTTTGAGTGACAGTAGTTCCTTTGCTAAACCAAAAGCCCCCATACCTGTGAGGGACTGGGACACATGCCGTTTTGCAGTATCTCTGTTTCACCTTTGGATTGCTCAGCTCTTCAGAAGAGACTATCAGCCACCACGTTAGAAACACGGCAGGTGGTACTAACCACACTGCCTAGCCGGAAGGTCATTTCTGATTGGTGGGCTGATTTAAAGCCTAACCGTGCAGAGGGCCTCCAAAACCCAACATTTGTTTGCATGGAATAATTTATTATCGTAACTGTGTTAATACACTGGTCTTAAGAATTCTTGCATTTTTGGCACCAATAGAGGCATCAAAACAAATGTCAAACCATAGGAAATCTCTTTGTTTCAGATAAAATCCTTATTAGTCTGCTGTTTATTTCCTGGGGATGTTCCAAGACCCACCAAGCATAGCTAGATCACAGACAGCTGTGTGTTTCCAGGGTCTACAAAACACTTACAAATTACAGTATTCAGACTTTGAACTTGTGTGGGAGGTCAGGAAAACAGACACAGCAACAAGAGCAGAACATTTTGATCTGTGATAACAATTTGCTGCCTGAACTGATTAATTAAGATGCATGATGAGGGATCTGTTCCTTTAAAAGTGCAGGAGCAGTGACTCTGAGTTCCCACCTACCCCTCTTGTGCGTGCTAGACTAGCAGAGTGGATAACGTGGCCAGCACTGCTCCATGGTCCCAAGGAGAGATGCTCAGACATCACCAGTACAGTTTGTGATATGTACTGAATACTGATACAGAGCAGCAGTAAGGATGCCCCACTTGAGGATTTGCCCTCTGAATATCAGGGCCTTTAAGCTCAACATCAAGAACTGAGGCACCCAGAATCTCTCAGCTCTTTTGAAGACATAGGCCTCAGACACTCGCCCAAGGTGACACCTGATGTCTATGGAAGAGCCAGGAATCGAACCCAGAACTCCAGTGCACCCACTCTGAGTTCACAAGACCATCCACTCTGAATTCTTACCAGGGGCATCTTCAAAGTCTTTAATTTTGACTGTTCAATTTCTGAAGTTAACCAGGGAACTACAGTCATGTAGCTCTGTGATACCTAGAAGTCCTGCTTTGTCTATTTCAACTTGTGAAAAAGGTTAACTTGGGGACTTGAACTGTGAAATGCAGAGTTTCAGCCTTACTCTTGTATGGGAAGTTTAGAATTAACGCTAAAGTAAATAAAAATGTTGCTGAGAGTCTTGTATTTCTATCTCATGCCCTAGTATAGCAGGCAGCTTGATAAACTGAGACCATTAGGGGTGTCAGAGCTCTGAGCATAAGAAAGAAAGAAAGAGACAGACAGGCGCAGATCAGCATGTACTTAACTTCTAAGTACATCGGGGTCAGCAGCCTTTCAGCAGTGGTGTGCCGAGTCTTCATTTATTCACTCTCATTTAAGGTTTTGCGTGCCAGTCATACATTTTAATGTTTTTAGAAGGTCTCTTTCTATAAGTCTATAATATATAACTAAACTATTGTATGTAAAGTAAATAAGGATTTTAAAATGTTTAAGAAGCTTCATTTAAAATTAAATTAAAATGCAGAGCCCCCCGGACCGGTGGCCAGGACCCGGGCAGTGTGAGTGCCACTGAAAATCAGCTCGCGTGCCGCCTTCGGCTCGCGTGCCATAGGTTGCCTACCCCTGAAGTACGTCCTTAAATCGCAAGGCCTAGAGTAAAAGAAATGGTTTGCTGAGGTCCAAATAAGTTTGATTTACAAAGCCATGACTTGAATTCTGTGGCATGTATGTACATGGTTTTTGCACTGTAATTGTACTAAGAGTAACACCCAGTTTTGAGATCTGCTGATGAGAAAGAAGCATTCAGCATCATTATCCCTGATTTACAGATAGGGAAATTGAGGCACAGAGCAGTCACATGACCTGCCCACCGTCACATGTCCAAGCCAAGAATAGAAGCCAGCCCTTCGGAGTCCTAGTCTAGTGTGCAAACCACTGAACTACACTGGCTCTCCATGAGTGGGGCTACACCAAAATATTCCCCATAATGAATTTGCAAGACCTCTGCAGACTATCCTTATGCCGGTAGAAGGGCTTATTCCTAGAATGTTTGCTAGGCAAATGCCATTCAAATTGCTGTCACTTCCCACTTCGTGACTGACCAGTTTCTAATGCTATACGTTTAGTTTGACAAATCCGAGCTTCAGAGAAACTTGGGAATAAGAAAGGACCAGCAAAGTTCAAGCTGGCTTGCCGGCCTCAGCACCGAGCCGTGTGTGCCTTCTCTCTGTGTCGCTCACTTTATCAGAGCTTTATGGCAGCTTATAAAGAAATTGTCTCTTCTCTCCCTGCCAAGTTAAAAATCCCACTTTGGTATTCACAGTACAGTTATGACAAATGCCTGGCCTGTGTTCTGGGTGTTCAGGGAAATGTAAAAACATGTCTAGTTGTTGTGAATGCTCACATGGTGATTTGTTGGTTTGATTCTTCAGGTCGTGAATTGGCAAGCACAACGCTCCCAGGATACCCTCCTCACGTCCCCCCTACTGGACAGGGCAGCTATTCTGCTCCAACACTGACAGGAATGGTGCCTGGTGAGTTTAACAACCCCCCCTCCTCCCCTCCCTGCAGCACTACAGAAGCAAAGCCAAATGCTTTCTGGTTGTTCTGCACTGATGCCAGCAGAAGACAGAATTACAGTGATGAAAAGAGAAGCGCAGATGCAAAGCGAGTGTAAATAAATAAACCAGCCCCTCTCTGGCACAAGGGAGAGCCTAACTTCTCCGCTGCCAAAGCAAATTCTTCCATCCTGTAGGCAGGGAGAAGCCTTTACCCCACTGCATGGCCGTTTGATATGTGTTGATCCGCTCACGTAGGGACAGCCTCAAACTCCCCCCCCCCCCATTTGTCATGAGGATGATTTTAATCAACACTTTAATGTTAAGCACGTCACATGTATTGGTGCCAGTGGGCTAGAAAAGCTGCACTGTGGCAAGTATTTGTTGGACTGGAAGGGTTCAGATGGTTACTTTACTAAGCCCAAAATCTTAACAACTCACACATCACTGAATTTTCCGCAGGCTTTTTCCTTTTTTTTGTAAACCTTTTTTGCATGTTTTTGAGATAACCCCAGCCTTGTGATGGGAGCAGCTGATCATCTGCTGGAAGGCACTCCAGCACAGATCTTCAGAGGTACCTATGTTCCTAGCTCCCACTGAAATCAGTGAGAGTTAGGCGCCTAACTGGACCTGAGTACCCTCAACCCCTTTGGAAGTCAGCGGGAGCTGAGCATGCCCAGATCTCATAAGCGGCACCTTGTAGGATGAGGTCCCTATGAATACAGTTGGGTTATCTATTATTAGCAACTTCTGATCCACAATTATTCATCTATGATCCTAGACACAATGGCGATACTGTTGGTGCTTTAGACATACAGATAGTGATAAGGCTAGAGACAGATGGAGTGTTATGTTGTATATACTCCTGGGCTTGACATTTAAGTATGATGAAAATCATTGACTTCAAAAGAGCTATGTAGATTTACAGCAGCTGAGAATCTGATCCTCGCAACCTTTGAGCTCAATGTTAAGGCCACCACTGCTTACTAGGAAAAGTGTTATACAGTATTACGAACCCCAAGCATTCAAAAGTTACGAGTAAAGGATTTTTAAAAATCATGGGACTTTTAAAAAAAAGTTGGGTGTTTTTTTTACTTGCTTTCTAGTTTCTGGGCCTTTAGGGTACACTTGGACTGTATTTCCAAGCTTTCTTCACTCTGTTTTAAAAAAATGAAAGCCGAGATTATTACATAATCACATGACTCCAGCAGCTGGGGATTAAGAACAAAATATCATAAAACTTGTGATAAACAGCATAAGAGTTGGTAACACTGGCTTTATGTCTAGAGTGTGTGGGAGTTTGCATATATGATCAATCTCGATTGTACTTGTCTCCTGATAATATCTTTAAGAAATTAAGAAAAACGCATTCACTCTTCATATGAATTAGTTTTAAGAATTAGAAGTATGAATCAGGTCATTGTAATAACATTTAGTCATTTTTGCCCATAAAAAGTGTTGCAATGGTATTGAAAGTAGTGTGGGGGGGCCGGGGAATTTATAAAGATTGACATAGATACAGAAACATTACTTTCCCCTCAAAAAGGAAATGTGATATAATAATGGCTTATTTTATACAGCTGTAAGGATTTACATCATACCAGAAAACTTGCCTAGAACTTCAGGCCAGATTCTCAACTGGTGTAAATTGATCTGCTGATTTCAATGGAGCTTCAGCAATTTGCACCAGCTGAGGATCTGGCCTGAAAATGCAACAACATTATGCTGTGATTGCAAGTCACTTCCCACCATTTAAATATTAAGAACCTTAAAAAAAAAGTCACATCAGTGTTAAAGTGCTTTATTAACAAGATTTCCCTAAATGTGTTTTGCAGTTATATAAGCATCTCTGAACAGCAGCTAGGAACAAGGATGGGTGAACTAGTCAGGATAAAACATCTGCCCCTGATTATGGGGGGAGGGATAGCTCAATGGTTTGAGCATTGGCCTGCTAAACCCAGGTTTGAGTTCAATCCTCAAGGGGGCCATTTAGGGATCTGGGGCAAAAATCTGTCTGGGGATTGGTCCTGCTTTGAGCAAGGGGTTGGACTAGATGACCTCCTGAGGTCCCTTCTAACCCTGGTATTCTATGATTCAATCAAAATCGGAACACAAAGCAATCCTTTATTTTGCAAGTTGGCCAAGTTTAGTTAACTTCATTTACTGTGACCTCCTAGTTCTTTCTAAGTCTGGAAGCTAGGGTGACCAGATGTCCTAATTTTATAGGGACAGTCCCGATTTTTGGATCTTTTTCTTATATAGGCTCCTATTACCCCACACCCTTGTCCCGATTTTTCACATTTGCTGTCGGGTCACCCTACTGGAAGCAGAAGTAATGCAAGACTGTGACAGAGGTTGGTCTAGCACTATTCCCTCTGTGTTCAGAAACATGGCGTCCTGGTATCTAGTGAAGGAAATGGATCTCAAGTTAGCAAGCGCTGTCTTTCACTTGAGCCAGCCCGAAAATGGGAAGGTTTGCATGAAGCTTCTTGATAGCAGCAAGTGTTAAATTATTCCCATAGCACATCTGTGCTTTTAAGGCTAAAACTGCTATTGTGCAGCTGTTATGAAACCCAAATACTCTGCACATTATCTAAGATCATGTCAGTTCCCTGAGGTGAAAGGAAAAGATCGTCCTACTTTGTATCCTGGAACAATTTGCACCCTTCCAAATGTGGGGCCTACCCTTTCATGTGACTAGGGATTGTGGGTGACGCTTTGGAGATGCCTTGAAGAGACCTGATTTTCAAAAGGTGCTAAGCACCTACTCTTTGAAAATCAGCCCCTTAAAGGTGCCCCAACTTGAACAGTAGAAAATTGAGTCAGTTTTGAAAGTGTAGGTGATGAGGTTTCAAGGTGGTTCTGTTACAGCCTCTGTTAAGATTTTATCTCACTAGTCCTTATTATTATTATTATTTATTATTTGTATAAGCATAGTGCCCAGGGACCCCAGTCATAGTCCAGGACCCCATTGTGTTAGGCGCTGTACAAACGCAAAACAAAAACGTGTGTTTTTCAAGTGTGCCTAAGCACGGTAGGCTCCTAACTCCCATCGGCATGTGTCTGAAAATCCCTTTAGGTGTCTGCACCTTCAGGTGCCGAAATCCTTTGAAGACCTGGCTACGTTTACAATGTGCTTCAGTATGGACTACCAGGGGAGGGTGAAGTGCAGAGCACAGCAAAGTGTTGCTCCGTAACTGCGCCCCGTAGGCACTGTTGGCATAAACTACAAGGTACATAGTTTGCATTAACATAGCCCTGTTTGAAAGAAGACTACGTTAACGTGAACTAGGTACCTTTTAGCTTGTGCCCGGAGCGTCCCCACAGGGCAGTTAGAACGCAACACTTCGTGCTCGGCAATTTGCACCCCCCGTAGTCTGCACTGCGGCACAGCGTAGACAAACCCTTAGTTTGTGTCTCAGTTCCCCATCTGTAAAATGAGGTTAATAGCTCTAGCTCGCAGGGGTGCAGGGAGCGTAAATACCTTACAGATTGTGGGGTGCTCAGATACTACTACCAAGTAATGGTACCCGAGATGGGCAGGTTTGGTAATACCTCAGACCAATCGCACATTATTTGGCAGAGTTTAGAAAGATGCAGTGCAATGATCTCGACTCATCTGAGCTGATTTCTCTGTGTAATAGATTTATTTTTAACTACACGTAGGCTGGTGTGACCCATTAGATTGAGTAACTGCAATGTTCCTTTCACTGGGCCTTTTAATAACAACCTTCTGCTCCAGCTAGGTTGAAGGTCACCTGCAATTCTTCTAGGTTCTCGTTCTCATTTAAGTGTGGGTTTGCTAACTAGAATCCAAAATACCTTCTCTGTCCTCACTTGTCTCTTGTCATTTGAAGGGCCCGTTTCAGAGGCTTCTTCTGAATGCACACCGTCTTTTATGATTTGGTTCTGAAGGAGCTGACAGGTCAGGTTTAATGCTGTATGCATATCAGTGATTGTGATCTGATATGGCTGAATTATTCTGCCCTGAAATTTATACAAGGGGAATGTACGTTTCACCAATTCTCTGGGATTCCCTCCTAGACCTGCTGCTTCCCTGGAATAATTTTCAGAGCATAGGCTCAAAATGTGGTTCTTTGATAAGAGCTTTAATTGTGAGCCATGAACGATTGTTATAATTAACGGATTGTGTCTGTGAAGTGTTTAGAGACGCGGGAGAAATATAGACATGATAAGACATATATGATGTTTTGTTGCATGCTTGTTGCTGTTGACATCAGTTATGTGACTGTGAATAACCTGGTCCCCAGCTACAGAGTCTGTGTTTGTACAGCATTTGCCAGGGATTCATAGAGCGCGTGTCCGAGGGGCTGGGGAATGAGTGTTAACTCTTACAACTCAGGGATTAGAATACCTGTCCTGAGAAATCTTGATGGGGTAGATCAGACCTGAGTCTACCTAGCTCCTCTCTCTCTTATCTCCTTCCCCCCGCCCCACACCAGCTCCCACTCCCTCCCTGCTTTTTCCCCTCCCTCCCATATCTTGAACGAGAGCCCTTCGCTCCAAAGCGCATCTCAGCAGGCAATGGACCTCATGTTCCCCACCGGCCTGGCCTTTTCTGCCAGCCACCTCTTCAGCGCCATCCTCCCGGCCCCAGGCCAGTTCCTGCCCTCCCCGTGCCATTGCTGTCACTCTGTCACGCACCCTCCCTTCTTCTCAAAGAGGCTGTGAACGTGCAGCCTCCTCCTGGGTGCCCTGCAAGTGGCCCCTCACCTCAGTTTCCCTCTGGATTCTTGAAATAAACTCAGGGCAGCCTTCGGAGTATAGAAATAGCACGTTTTGTGGGGTTAAGTTATTACCTGAAGTCCCACTACCGTAAACCAGAGTCCTCCCAGCACAGTACAACGCCAGATATGGCTCTAGCGTCTCTCGCCAGGCTTCACCCCAGCTCCCAGGCACGGCTCTAGCGTCTCACTGTGCTTCACCCCGGCTCCCAGGTACGGCTCTAGCATCTC